TCGTCCATGCGAAATATTGTAATCTGCAAGAGAGGAAAGCAACATGGATAACGAGTTTCGGTCACGTGCTCTTTTAAAGATTCAGGTATTCTCAATATCGTGTTACCTTGTGATATCACTAATTTTATGTCTAGCTCAAACCCTTCAGAACTGCAGAACCAATAAAATGTTGATTTTAAGTAATTTCTGGTTGCAGTTAACTATGATAGTCGCTCCAGCGTTTACGCAACTCTTTCTGGACGACGCAGTAGTCTTACAATCAATGCGCAAGACTCCTAGGACCGGTTTTTTGAAAGACGCTACTTTACGTATGATCCAGGATAAAATTTTTGAACATCGTCATACCTTTTCTTATAGCAACAGCGAAAGTCAGAGCGAACCTTTAGGGGCCCGGGGTCTTTCAACCCATGCACCATAAGGCGTAATAGGAAACAACGAAATGGGGGGTCTGAAAACTGTTTGCAAAGCTAGAAAACCACAATTGAAATTAGCCTTTTAAACTCTAGGTCAGCGAAATTGTGTTTTGAATAATCAAGCCCAGATCGAAAGGTCTAGTCATTGTCACTCTTAATATGACTTACATATCTCTTTTTTTCCACACATTTAAGTACGTTATGATATAGAGCGGTGCATTTTTCCTCGTTGCATTCTGGGAAGGCTTTCTGGATCTTCATAAGAAGCTGTTGATGTTCAACTACTTCAGACATGTCCTCCATATCAGTTCTGTCGAGAATTAAGAATAATTGTTTTTTTTTTTCTCAGAAATGGTGGAATTTACCCTCCGAGTCGACCTTACGATATGGAGGGTGGTTTTTACAATTCTGGGTTTGTTAATTTTTGCTTTGTGCGAAAGGAAATATCAGAGCTACCAGCCCCTTCTCAGCCACCAGAAAGACTCATTATAAAACATTTGAAATATGTAGTTTCGCTTTTCTTACAAATAATACTCCAATAAGTATTAAATATGTACCAAAATCGTTAGTCAGCGGCAAAATGATAATGGGGTTTCGTGTGTTCTTATATGTCAGTAATATGAAAGAATACTGAAAAATGTTGTCAAATTTCTAGTTTGCATAATTACTTCAAATGCAGACTCAGAAAGTTTTGTTTGATTTGATGTCCGCATTTTGGTCTGATGGATTGTGGGATCCAGATGCCCCGCACCGCATCCGCCAAAGATCAAAAACCCCTACGGTTCTACGCATTTCCACCAGGATGAAGTGCATTTCCTTTATGGAAATAAACTTATCGAACTCTCACACGTACCCTTCATTTGAAGTGACAATCCCATGAGCATGCGCTAAGATATCAGCAGCCCTTCCGCTGCCCTCGGCAATGACAACGGGCACAGCTGGATTGCTAGTGACAGATTCCAACACTGTCTGGATTGTGTTTGGTCCTCCCTCGAGAACGAGAAGAACCACCGGGATTCCGTGAGATTTACCTGAAAATATAAAAAAAAAAACAAGTAGCAGTATTGGCCATGTCCCAGACAAAAATAATGCTAGAATAGAGCACTGACATTTCCAGCTCTCTCTCACTTGAACATAAGAGCGTGAGAGAAACTGAAAACAAGAGTGCAAGCGCCTTGCAGAAATCAATAGTAAATACAGTAGTAAACTATGCAAAAACAAGTATGTTAAGGATGAAGGAGATTTTAAAGATGGATTGCCAACTGGCGGACTCTGACTCTTTCTTTTCATCTCCTGGCCATATGATAACACGCCAGTGACTCTCACCTGTACATACTATAGTACGAGTGAAACTAACACAGGGCAATGGCAGCCAGGTAACACTTAAAAAACACACTCACTTCTTTCCATCTTTTTTGTTGATATACAATTCTGAAGACCTGCGCGGAAAGGGATTTCTCCTCCATATTTTCCCACTGTCCCATCGTCCACCAGGATGAAGTGCGAATGATTGTTATCGAGACACGCTCCCTCTGACAGCAGACTAGAAGTCATGTGATACGTGACAACTCCCTGTGTACAAAAATGCAAAAAGGAAAAAGAGCCGCTCAATTGTGGTCAGTGTACATCCATAAGCTGATATTGGATGTCAGGAAAGGGTAGGTGCCTAAAGTTCTTTAAGCTTTCATATCAGTCGACATTCCAATCTATTGAATACTTTAGACTAGGTCAATGTCTAGCTCTAAACGACAAAGTTTGGGTTGTAGATGTGTAGTGCACTCTTTCTAAGATAAAACTGTCTCAAAACATGTCTTACATGGCGACACAGTACATTAACAATGGTCAGCCCGCTGGACACCAGTATAAGCTCAAAACCCTCGGGTCATTAAATTTTGTTTTTGGAATCTTCGGACACGTATACAATTTTACTTCATAATGCTTCTCTCCACTGTGGAGCATCAAAGAGTACAAGTAGGAGCTGGGCTCCTGGTATCAGTGAACTGGTAAAAATCGATAAACAGGGAGCGGGTTGATGAGGGGGAGGGGGAGGGGTACAGAAGTAAACGAAATACGGTTCAGAAATCAGTCACGTGTGCATCCTCCTTTCTCAGATTGGAGCTGTGGTAAATGATAAAAACTATGTAGTTTAGACCAAGATGAAAAGTCCTAACCTGGCTGTCGATCAAATCCTCTCTGTGATTCACAATTCCCCAGGTAGCAATGCCAATAAGATGAAGCTGAGATGTTTTGTCTTTGGAAAGCTGTGCTCCTCGTGACATGACTGTGTGACCTTTTACTGCTTCCCCAACGTGACGCATCACGCCAGTGTT